AAGCGTGTAATCTAAAGCTTCTTTAAGCCCAGACTAGATTGCTCAGATTCATTTTACGTTCTGGAATTATTTAAGACATCGTTATGCATCAAAATCATCAAAGAATGGGCTTTCTCCGAGCCCGGGATCATTACGGAGTCGTTACTAAATCATCATAAAACCGTTGCTGTCGAAAGAAAAGCTCCCATCTCCAACACATCAAGATTTCAGGAGAAGAGGAAAAGGTTTTCCAATTTTCCAGAAACTTCAAGGTGTGGAGTTCGGTTTTCAGGCCCTGTGGCTGTTTTAGGTCCCTCTAATTGGCGAGGCTAGAAAGTAGCACATGTAAAGTAGAGGATTCATCAAAACTATACGTAAAAATGGGGCCAGTGCTAAGGGGGGGTGGTTGGGGTAGCCTTTTTATGCCCAAGTCCTACTTGCCTACAAGTCAGGCAGTTCGCTTGGGCACTATATTTTTTCTTTTACACTTCCTCATAGCCGGTCACGAAAGTATGTTTTTAGTGGTCAGCATTGAGAAATGTATCAGTATTTTCTGTTTGGCTGCCAGTCTGTGACCTGAGGATACAGGGTCATACAAGACGAGCAAACAGTAAAACCCTAGAGAGTTAAATGTATGGTAGCTTTTTGCCAAGATTTGTTTGATGTTTCTAAAATTAATATGTTTGTAAACTTACCTCATTAATTTGTTTTATTAGTAGCCAATAGTTTCTTACACTGAAAAAAAAAGTCTGTAAAATTTATGGAGAAATACTGTTAAGCAGCATCTGTAAAAAAACTGTAAATAGAAAAACAGGAAAATTACATTTTCAAATCTTCAAAACACTGTAAACAGCAACACAAGCCAATCTTATTTTTACAGTAACAATTTGTAAAACTAAATAAATTTTGCTGTATAAAAATACTTCTTACTTTCAGAAGTGATGTTGAAACACTGTTATGTTAAAACGTTTAGTCAATTTTACATTCCTAAACTGGACGTCACTTGTAGGTGTCACGCATTCAGCAAACTTTGACATGGAGACGGACTCCATTTCCCAGAATCCTCAGGGAAGTCACGTGACCGAGCAACTTCCTTCCGACTCGGATGCAGACATGGACTCCATTGCCCACAATTCTAGGGGAGATCACATGACTCCTGACTCTCGCCCGTGCTCCAATCAGCGCTCAAACTCCCCAGAGTACTAACTGAGAACACCTGTGAACTTGATCATATGACTAGTTAGTCTCCTTTATAAGCCCGGGCTTGAGTTAGGTTCACTGCGAAGTATTGTATCGTTACGACCTACTGAGCGTTTGTTTTCTGACTGCCTGTATTCTGTTTTGCTGACCTACATTTTGTTCTTCTTGACTTAGTCTTTTGCCTGATCCCTTTGTACTGTTGCCTGATTTGGACTGACCCGTGTTTTGAACCTTACTGCCTGTTTTTGACCCTGACTTCAGCTCTGCCCTTTTTGCTTTGTTTGCTCGATTATATTAAAACTTGTCGTTTTTACATCCGCGAGCGTCTGTATTCTGCCACATCACAGAAGGTCAGTTGAATTTTCCTAAAAAAAACCCAAAAACAAATATCAGTACCAGTCTCTAAAGAGAGATTTGTTAGTTAAATAAAAAACAAATTTGTTGAAGTAACCCTAATTTGTTGGTTTCTAATGGCCATTTATTTACAAAAAAATACTTTTTACAAGTGTGATTTATTGTATTATAGTACAGTTTGACACATTTCAGTGTATTTCTGGCAATCACAGCTGCCAGTATTTCACAGTAAAGTGGCTGTATTTATACAAAAATGATGTAATATACTATTTTGTATACAGTATATCTCTGGCAACCATCACTGACAGTGTTTTACCATAAATTTCACGGAAAATATTGTTTTTTATACAGCAATACTGCATCTTTAACCCTTTAAATGGTCAGGGCCCAAAGTTTTATTACACACTTCTATAACCTAAGAATAGCTCAACCAGTTTGCATTGAAGTCCCTGTAGTTACTGAGTAATAAGCCTTAATATGTAATAAGCCTGGGATGTCATGGGCTTAATAGTAATACAATAAGAGGAAAAAAAGTCTTACTTATACAGTGAAAATCAGTACTTCAATCTACAGTAGAGTCTTTATTTTTATGGTATTTTACCATAAATAAACAAATGTCTTTTGGTGTAAAATATACAAGTTGTGATATTGAGATCATGATTTAATTATCTTGTGATCTCAAGATAACAAAAGTTTTTAAGTAGGTCATGATCTCAAGATAACAACTGTTTTGTAGTCTCGAGATAACAAAGATTACGAGATTACAAGACAGATGTTATCTTGATACATGACTTAGTTACAACTTTGTTATCTTGAGATCACAAGACAGTTATCTTGATCATGACTCAGTTAACAACTTTTATCTTGATATCACAAGATAATTAAATCGTGATCTCAAGATGCAGCTGCTATTTGACTGTTATTTAGTGTTAAGATGGTTCGGTACGTTACTGTTACAGTAATGCAACTAGTAGCCAGTAATTTGCAGTGAAATACATTACAGTGCAGTCAAAGCAGTGTAGCTTCATATAAGTTATGAATGACTATTTCACAGATAAATACATTTATCATTGACCACTATGCAATTCACAGGATTTACTCCAGGACAGTTGCTCATATTTTGGAATGCCTTGATTTCCTGGGAATAATGAATTTGGCAGGCAGTGCTACTGATATTTCCAAAGTGCTAAAACAGCACTAACAAAGGGAATTTTGCAGTCAGGAGCTGGAAGGACTCTCAAGCAATCTGGTACTGATACCACCCCAGCTGGTGATCTGAGGCCTGCTCTCGCGTGATTGGCTGGATGGATGTCACGTGACGCCGTTAACCAAGGCGGCCATTCGTCTTTTCCAATTAGCGGCGTGGTGCCTCTCGTTAAGGGCCTAATTCAGTCTAGCCGCCATCTGTATACCTGCTAACGAGGCGAATGGCTAACGACGTCTAAGCGCAGTGTTTCGGATCGTGATTTTATGTCAGCCTGACTGATGAGTTATGAACGTTGCTCTCGTAGAGTGTTGTTTGAATACATGTCCGGATGCGATTACCTTGACTGCACATGTGTCTTCTAAGAGGAAGGAACCCAATTGGAATGTAATGTGTTTAGCCGATGCAGAAATAGGCCGCGTTTGCGTCTCCCGTGCTGCGTTGATTGCGTTTCGCCTCATCATGCCAGCCTAGCAGGATGTTTATCATGCTGACGGTTAACAACCCTTCCCATCTGTGAGATGTACCTGTAATTATGGTGAAGCAGCCTAGACGAGATTAAAGGGGACTTTTAAAGGGGAAAGTCAGAATTGTTTACAATGGCGGTGATAGGAACCAGACGTCTGAAGGAAATGGTGACGAATGTGTCGCCTGACTTCTGTAAATCATTGTTTTAATGTAAGCTTTTGTTCTACAGCCGATTTTTAATCTATTCATGGTGGAGGAGGCCTTGCAGGGCGTTGTGAGGCAAAATAGTTCCCCAAAGAAAACTTATTTCCATCCAGAATCATTATTTTACCATCATCAATATTCCATATAAAAACTCAGTTTTAGATAGCAAATAAAATGTCTATATCTGTGTTGTAGACATTGTGACCCCTGGTTCCTATCATCACCACTGTAAAGACATCTGAATCAGTTTCCATGAAGCCTGTATTATTAAGCAGTTATATATATGATAACTCTTTTTACTTGTTAACAATGCTTTGTAAGCATATTTGTCAACTCGTATAATGCTTCATAAAGCTCTAATAATGAGCTATAATTAATTCTTTGGTGACTTACACACATGTAGTAACACAATTAATCGCTATTCATCGTAATTGTTATAAAACAATAATAAAATAATAACATTTATTATGGCAGAATCAGCTCCGAGAGCGTCCTGCCCTGCAAGGTCAACTAGCCATTTATGTACTCTGGTCATATTTGGTCATTGTAGGACAAACACATGTTACATTTCTTTATTAATAACAAAACTTGATTAATCATTTATTTATAACAAAAAAATAACATAAAACATCAGGAAGCAGGAAGCTCGCCAAACTGATTCAATAAATGATAAACAATATATGTCACATGTAAGATTCAAATGTGAATAACCTAAAATATGTTTCTTTGTACTTAAAGCACTCAGTGATGCTATTTTTAATGTTAATAATAATTTTATACCTGTTAACATGTATTATAGGCGCTTTGTAGTTATACACAGGTAATTATCTATTTAAAACGCGCTATAACATAGTTACACTTGTGTTATTATAGCCTGATGAAGTTTGTAAATATGCTTACAAAGCATTGTTACCAAGTCACAAAGAGTTATGAGCACTTTTAGGATGACTTATGAAGATGGGCTTCAGAGAAAGTGCAGGTAAACTTCATACCTATATTCATAAGTAGGTTTAAATGTGCTTATAACTATTTGTAACTTGGTAACAATGCTTTGTAAGCATAATTATGAACTCTCACTAGTCGTACGGCTGTAATAATGTACTATAATTACCTCTTTCATTACTTATAAACATGTTGTAACATTTCACCAAGCATTGTAATGCCTTTTAAATGGATAATGACTAGTACATTAGTATAAATCATCTATATAGGCTTTATAGAAAGTTTTATCTCAAGTTTATCTACAATTTTCTCATCAAAACAATTCCAGAACTTGAGAAATATTGTTGGAATTCCTTGACTTATTATTTATGAAGTTACCAAGCTCAGAGTTGCCTGTTAGCATGTTTATAGTGATGATGCTGTTCTCTATTGTACTGTCCACCAGCAAATGGTAGAAAGAAGAGTTGGATGGATTCATAGATGGAATGACAGCAGGGCTGAATGATAGCTGGATGGATGGTTGGGCAACTGGGCATAATTAGCATGGATGGGTGAATTAGCACAGCTCATTTCAGTGCTAGCTCCTGCTGTACGCAGCCATTGTTTGTTTACTCTTGTTATGTGATTAACTCTGGGTTTTCTCTTGCAGTGTGCGTTCGCTCACTGGAAGTGACCGTCAGCCAGAGCAGCGTCCAGGTCGCCAGGGGCCAGGCGGCCATCTTGCCCTGCACCTTCACCACCAGCGCAGCACTCAACAACCTCTACATCATCTGGATGGTCACACCACTGGCCAACGCTAACCAGCCAGAGCAGGTAAAGCACTGTCCCACATTTGTCCACTCATTGGCCACTTTGTAGGCTCCACCTACCTCATATGTTCACTGGATAGTGGTAAATCATTCAGCTGCAAGTGTTACAAAAGAGAATGCCCTCAAGTACCATTCAGTCCTGTTGGTCCAGGTCTTGACCAAGTACCAAAACCATACAACGGGAACCTTCAGTACTGGACTGATGACCAATTTAAACAGCATCAGTCCATTTTATGGCTATTAAAGGTTCTGCAGTGGAAGGTGGCCTTCATCTGTTGCTGCACATTTTATTAGCCCCCACAATTCATTACTGGTCAGTTTCTGACCCCAGGACAGCTGTTGAACATGAATTGGGTCATGGACCACCACCAGAAACTGAACCCTGATGAAGGGCTAGAGCAGTAGTTCTCAATCCTGGTCCTGATCCTGGAGCACATTTTAGAACTTCCTTTCTCCAAACACATCTGATGCAACTAATGAACTAATTAACAAGACCTTCTAGAGGTCGACTGGACATGTTGTAGCAAGGAAAACAACACAGAGTGCAGGACAATCGTACTCCAGACGCAAGATTGAGAACCACTGGACTAGAAGATGGCTAACAAACTGCATCAACAGATGGGTAACAGTCTCTAAGGGCATCTTCTGGTGCACAAAGTACTCAAAACTTTAGCACCAGAAAAGTGGACCTGTGTTTTTCCCAATGGTCATTGGTCCAGTACTGTCAGTTTTATGGTTTTTGGTACCTGCCCTGGTAACTACAGTGGTTGATATGTTGATCACTATTTTTTACAGTTATTGCTTTGAAAATAGCTCATTAAGGTGACATAAGCTGGTTAGGAAGCTGACGCTAACACTGTTAGCACAGCGTTTATGTTAGCCTCTACAGAAGAAGCTCATATTTTCATACGCAACGCAAAATAGAAGATTTGATTGATTCTACGTGTGATGCCGTATAATTGTTGACATTTTTGTGATGGTACAGTTTGTCATATCATGTCAGCCAATAAGTTAAGAAAACTACCATGCAAGGTAGCTAATCAGCCAAATTAGAGGAATCATTTAATCGTTAATCACAGTTCTAGCTGTCTCTAAAGCTGGCGGAAAATAAACTAGAACCAGAACCAAAACTGTAAGTTCCATCAGTTCCCTTGTTTTTTATGTGCACTGGAGCTACATGGGGTTTCTGATAAAGTGGCCTGCAAGTGTAGTTTAATGCCCAAAGTTCTGTAATGATATTTCCCATATTTACATTGGAGTAATGAAGAAATACATAGCCTAAGCTTTCTATTAAGGGACATTAGAGCCTAAAACTAACAATTGGTAAGCTGTTTGTTGCTATTTTCATGTTTTCGTTCATTGGTGTTCTCTCACTACAATACCCAGCATGCATTACACAAATACATTGCAGAATTATTGGGAGGCCCTACTGCATCCAGCAAATCCTGACTGCTAATCACTGATTTAGAGGCTAATAAACACATCTGTGGCGCTAGACTTGTAATATAGACGAACCTCAATGAAGTCTACCTTGTAGCGCATCATCAAAAGGGGAGTTTTCCAGTCTTTAAACTAGAAAATCTTGCTTCAGAGGCTACTGTGACACTCTGGACAAAGAAAGTAGGCATATTTCCAAGAGATGTCACAGTGGTTCACTTTGTTGTTTTGGCCAGAATGTCTCTTTAGCAATATTTAGCATTATGACATACATACTCATATTAAACACAAGGCCAAAAGTCATAGAACCAGCCCAGCCACACAATAGCCATGTTTACATGCAGCCTGATAATCTGTTAATAATCTGACTAATAGCTCAATTGGAATAGAATATGTCCATGTATACACTTTAATCCGAATAGTCTAGTCCGATTGAGGCCATTCGGAATACAGTTTCTATCCGAGTGAACGAGGTGGGTAATCCTGTAAATAATCCGTTAAATAGAAGAATAATATCCGTGTAAACGCCCGTATCTGATTACATGCCCTATCGGACAGTTTAAGTCTGTTCTGATCATGTTCGTCGCGTCATAGTGAGGGTTTATACCGTTCAACATGGCGGAGCAGAAACTGGTCTGCAGAGGAGACGAAGTTTATGCTCTGATCTTTAAAAGACGGCGGTGGGACGGACGTCCAGCTTATGTGTCTCAGAACACGACGTCTTCCTCTCGGCCTTCTTTAATAAGGACATGTGGAGGACGTTTTCCTGAGTCTGACATCATTTTAAAGCAATTAAAAACACAAGCACTGCTCACTGCTGCTCATCTCACTCTGACTGGACTCACATGATGCTGGTTGTCATGGTAACGTCTACTTACCACGGTGGTCCTCTACACATGCATGTAATTTTGGATCTGATTACTTGTAGTGAGCATGTAAACAGAGATTTTCATCAGATTGTTGATCAGAGTGAGAATAAACACCTCAGTCTTAATCTATTATCGGAATGTAATCAATCGGATTGGCGAAAATCTTTACATGTAAACACAACCAGTGAGAAAGGCTGTTAAATGTACTGGATTGTCTTGTACTAATAGATACTATTCTCCAATCACATCAAGGAGTAATGGCATAATGAGGGCATAACTGCCTTCCTCACTGGTTTTCACTCATTATTTAACACCATTAGCAGCTTGAGCCAGGTTTTCCATAAATACGTCCATGCTAGACAGCCTGCCAGCACAGCAAGACTCAGCATCTCAAATCACATCAAACCCTTCATTCAGCTGCATCACAGCCGTTTAATAATGAAGAGACCGTGTGACTGTCACATTCACCATCGTGGCTCTGGATAAACAAGAGAACCTCTTTTCTCGCTTCCCGAAAAGCACCCGGGAGGATATGTTTTATCCGGATTCAGTTATATAAAAAAAAAAAGCACCTACAAAGGTTTTGTTAGCATACGAAAGCTAAGTGCTAATCCTTTGGGTATACTGTATTTAGCTTCACCCCTCAGCTTCACGCTCATCAAAGTGTCTTCCTTGGTATGAAGGGCAGGTTTTGTGGTTTTGTCTGAATAATGATTTGACAGTTTTCTTTTCCAAACTTTTGTTAAAAGCACATATTGAAACTCTTCTTAGCCCAAAGATGGTTTAAATACCTGAACACTTTTACTTGAACTCTGCTACAGAACCATCATATGCTGTCATGAATTACCTGTAGAGATTTTGTTAAGTAGTTCACTGTGTGGCCAAAAGTATGTTGACACCAGAACCTCACATCTATATGAGCTTGTTGAACATCCCATTCCAAAACCATGGACATTAATATGGAGTTGCCCCCATTGCGTCAGGCACTGATGTTAGGCATGAAGGCCTGGCTCACTCAACGTTCCAGTTCATCCCAGAGGTGTTCAGGGGGGTTGAGGTCAGGGCTCTGTGCAGGCCACTGGAGTTCCTCCACACCAAACACATCAAGCCATGTCTTTATTTAGCGATCGCAGCGTTAACATTACCTTTCACTAGAACTAAGGGGTGCAAACCCTAAAAATACAGCCCCAGTTCATTATCCCTCCTCCACCAAATTTTACTGTTGGTAGGTTGTGTTGTTCTGGCATCCACCAAACCCAGATTCATCTGTCAGACTGCCAGAAAGTGATTCATCAATCCAGAGAACACGTTTTCACTGCTCCAGAGTCCGGTGGCAGTGTGCTTTACACTTCCACTTCCACACACTTCCAGCCGACGCTTGGCATTCCACATAGTGATCTTAGGCTTGTATGCAGCTGGTCAGCCTTAGAAACCCATTTCGTGAAGCTCCCGACGCACAGTTCTTGTCCTGATGTTGCTTCCAGAGGCAGTTTGGAATTCTGTAGTGTGTGGTTCAGTAGAGAATAGGTCATTTTTACTCGCTAGGTGGTGCAACTGTGTAGGTTTCCGTGGTCTACTGCTTCATGGCTGACCTCTTGCTGCTCCTAGATGCTTCCATTTCACAGTAATGGCACTTACAGTTGTCTAGGGCAGATCTAGCAAGGTGGAAATTTCAAGAACAGACTTGTGGCAAAGGTGGGATTCTATGACGGTGCCCTGTTTAAAGTCACTGAGCTCTTCAGTACGACCCATTCTACTGCCAGTGTTTGTCTATGGAGACTCTTATGAACATTGCCCTACAGCAATGTGTTACCAAACCTGAAGGATATGGGCTCTTAAGTTATTCCAAAACATTTGAACTTCCTGAATTGAGCATATTTAAATCATTATGAAAAGCTTGGTATTCCCATTTTTTCATGATCAGTATATAAAGACCACACATCTGCGCACAGACCCCTGAGTAATGGGCGGAACTTTGGCCATCAAACGTGCCACAAAGCAGGGTCAGTTTTTGATGGCTGTCCAGTGTCTCTCAGGCTGAGCGCAGGTTTTCTGCCCCTTTGATTTCTGAGCGATTTACTTTCATATGCGGCTGCAGGCGGGCCCGCATCACCTGCCCTCGTCGCTTTTAACCCCACCTAACCCACATACACGCTTGTACGTATAATACACAGATTCACTCAGTCGCTCACCTGCCTCCAACTCTTTTAACTTCAAGCGCATAACAATCTTCTGCACTAATTAACCCAGCGCGTTACAGGCAGAGCCGGAGCAGCTGTTCCTCTGGATCCACACGCAAAGCCATCATACACACACACAAACCCGCTTTAGACCCAAAGACGCTTAAACAGAGTAGCTCCCGAGGCTTTAGGGCTCATTTGTCTGCATTCTTAGTGTCCATTCTGAGCCAGTGTATCAGTGATAACACGCAGTATTCAGAAATCACTACTCCTAAAGGTTTTCCTTTTTTTCTATTTTTTTTCCTCTATTTTCTATGTTTTCAAATAGCAAACACCTGGGATACCACAGTGACGGCCCAGCATCACCTTAGCCTTACACATGGAATTTACCAGTGAATCACACTGTCTTGGCTTTCTCCCAAGCAGATTCATTAGTTGCCACCTGGGATACTTTTCCAACAACATTAAAGATTTTTATTTTTAAAAATATTCTTTTTAATTAGAGATTTTCTTGAATA